TTTACCCATAACCAGTTGGTAGTAGTATTAACGCCGGGCCATTGCTGCGATCTCCTTGTTGGACCAACATTTTGTTGAGTTCTTCCTGATGTTGTCACAACGTTGACGGAGGGCTACATGGTCGGGTGTACGCCCGCCCGTGGTTTTGTGTACAGTTTTCAGGTGAGCATAGATACTGTACGGGAAGCGGAGTGATGGTTTGTCGTGGGCCCAGGCGGGTTGCGTCAGAGGGGTAAGTGGATTTGTGCTGGCCATTGAGTCGAGTTGTATTCACAGGCAACGAATTTCAGTGTGTGTGCTGTGTAATTTGTAGTTTGTCTGTTAGTATGGGAATTGCGAAGTGTGTAGTGTAGCGACAATCAGTTTCTCACTAGTGATGTATGTGTGTGTGAGTATGTATGTTTATGAATGTATGGTTGTGTATCAAGCGGAAGTGCGTACTGAGAGAGTGTTATGCTGTGTTGAGTAGCATTGATGTGAATTTCTCGTGCTTAGTGCGACCGAGGATTTTAGTGAGAAAGTTGGCGGAGTTGTCGTGAGTACTGATGTAGTGTAAGTTGAGCATGTGGCGGCGAGCACAGTCCCGGAGATAGGGATGACGGATGTCAATGTGCTTCAGGCCTTTAGGTGTGTCCGTGCCAAGTGTTATTATGATGGCACTCTGGTTGTCGATGTGTAGGGACGTGTGTTGATGTGAGTCACAACGAAGAGCAGTAAGTATGTTGCGAGTCCAATGCGATGTGAGTGCTGTTTCCAATGCTGCCATATACTCCGCTTCGCCAGAGCTAAGGCTGACGTCCTTTTGCCGTTGAGATTTCCAGAACACCGGTGAGTTGTTGAGACATATTAGCATGCCTGATTGTGATTTACGTGTGAGTGGACATGTGGCCCAGTCGCTATCTGTGTAGGCAACTGATGTGTCTGCGATTCTGCCCTTAGGGTTGGTGAGAGGGCGGTAAGTGATGCGATGTGTTTTTGTTGTTCCCAGATAGAGGAGGATACGTTCAAGTACTTCGTAGTGGGCTCAAAGTGGCTGTGTGTTGAATGATGCAAGCATATTGAGTGTGCAAGCAATGTCCAGACATGTCATATTTGCAACGTAGCCAAGTGCGCCGAGCAGGCGGCGGTATTTGCCTGTATCCGGATCGCCGTCTAAGTGGCCAGGGTGTGTGTCAGTGTCTGGTGTATGTTTAGGATGTGCGTCGACAAGTTGGAATGCGTGGAGCATGCGTTCAATGTACGCTTATTGGTCTATACTGATGCAGCCGTTGTGTTGTGTAACTCGTATGCCAACTAGATGTGTGACGCGGCCGAGAATTTTGAGACTGTAATGTTTGGAGAGTGTGCTGTAGAGCCAGGTACTGTCTGTGGTGGATGGCATTGTGGGATGACGAATCTCATCAACGTATAATAGGACAAAGATGTCGCGTGTGGAGTGGTTCCAAATGCTTTCGTCTGCGGCGCTCTGCGTGAAGCCATGTTGCATGAGTTTGTCAGCGATGTCAAAGTTCCATATTCGGCCAGACTGTTTGAGTCCATATAGTCCACGTTTAAGGCGGAGAATGGTTCCTGGCGAGTAGTGGCCGAGTTCAATAGCTTCTTTAGGGGATTACATATAAACTGGTGTGTCTAATTTGCTGTATAGAGATGCAGAGTCAACGTCAAAGTGATCAATAGCCTTACCCGAGGCGGCAGCCGCAGCGAGGAAGAGGCGGAGTGTGACGGCGGAAGCAGCATGGGCATACGTATCAAGATATGAATCTCCTTTTTCTTGTTCATCGCCGCGTGCGACCATGCGTGCTTTGTATATTGTTGGGTTGCCATGTTCATAATGCTTGCGTGCAAATACATACTTGGAGTGTATAATTTTTGTATGTGGCGGTACCTGTGACTGTTATATGTTGTTAGCGAGGTGATTGTTTGCGTGTGCTGTGAATTCCTTTGTGATAGCTGTGTGCCATT